CTCTGTAATAATTTCTGCAAACAATTGTGTGAAAACTAACCTTCGAAAGAATAACAAAATAACTCAAAAAAGAAACAAAAGAAAAACACTAGCAGAAAAAGTGTAAACATTCTGCAATATTACTTAAAACGTTATTGGCATAACCGAACGATAACTTTATGAACTCAAACGACAATACTTCAGCCAAGTTTAAACAACCATTGTTTTAAAATAAGCAGGAAATGTGACGAACCTCGTGTAAAAATACAACATAAATAAGATATTCAACCAAAACCAGTCAATATATTATTTCTAGGTCTACCATGATCACACGGCACGGAGATGGTTGCCGATTTTGGTCTGCACTGATCATTTGAGTGGATTCAGTTGTCACCAGCGACATTAATGGACATTAAACCTATTATTTAAAATGTCATTTGTTTAAATGGATATTATTTAGATGACTTTCTTGGTATTTACACCATATGATAAAGTAGAAAATAGAAACTTATTAATATTGACCTTTCGCCATTAATAGGGTGTTTTGATCGTAGTACAGTTTTATGATGTAAAATCTAAAAAAAAATGTTTACTACAATAAAGCAATAACACTGAAGAAATAATTGTTATTTATTCCAACACAAAAAAGCAAGAAGACAAGATTAGTTTTCATGATTTATTTGGCAAAATGTGTCTATGGTTGGTGAAAAAGAAATACCGATACGAATTTAAGTATATGTTTCATGTGATATATGTATGTATGTATGTATGTATGTATGTATGTATGTATGTATGTATGTATGTATGTATGTATGTAGTATGTATGTATGTATGTATGTATGTATGTATGTATGTATGTATGTATGTATGTATGTATGTATGTATGTATGTATGTATGTATGTATGTATGTATGTATGTATGTATGTATGTATTCTATGCTGAATGAGGGTTCGTCCGCCCGTTTTTTGAGCATTAATACGAAAGTTTATTTACGTCCATTTATATTAAAGGTGTAACCGGTAATATAATTATTCTGCTGACAACTTCTTTTATCTTTCATTGGTGAAATATAACCATTTTGTGCTCCTATGAATCGAAAGGACAAATACCTTCTGCAATAAAAAAGTTGTGAAATCTCTCACATGTTTAAATCTGTTTATGAATCAACAATGATGAGAGGCATGTGAATGTAAATTCCATTCGGTAACAGAGGTACCGCCGGCACACCATGTTTTCTCACATATTTGTTTGTTTCAGTTTTAATTTGCATGTATCGTAATTGAATTGTTCTTTTTTACAACAAAGATTTTATTTAAGTTTAATGTGCATTGATTGAGGCTGATGATTCGGACACATTCTAATTTTCAGACTAGGATTAGAGCGCGCAAGTACAGCAAGAGAAGGTGTAAATGTAATTACAAATTTGCTGTCGCAGTACGGACAAGGGGGATTATCCAGTGAGGACCATAATTTTGGACAATGGACGTACCACAGTGCTTTTATTTTAGCTGACAGTTCTGAAGCATGGCTACTTGAAACTGCCGGAAAGTTTTGGGCTGCGAAAAAAGTAACGAGTAAGTAACTGTATCTGTAACGTACATTCTGTTGGTTATCGCGGAAATTGTACATATGTTTACTTATTTCAAATCATATCTCAATCAACCTTCAGAACACCTATCTTGCGGTTTTACTTTCTGCGTTTGCACCTGCCATATTTGTTTTTGTTTGACAAAAACATTGAAAACATAATGCAAATTTGTAAACTTTAATTAAAAAAACACATACTGTTCTTGCTTCTTTCTCCAAAATATAAACAGTAGTCTCTCGATGTTGCCATACTTATTCGTATTGGAAAGACATTTGATTGCTTCCAAATAAGTTTTACAAATATGGTTTTATTTTACCTCTTTATTAACATATTTTCTGTAAACTTATATATTGAATTTTGTATTGGTTTGCTTTTAATTTGTAGGTGGTACCTTAATAGCCACGAGCACTTTAACTATAGGAGATGATGCAGAAATAACGTCAGCCGATTTATCTGCGCAGGCGCAGTCAGGTGGTTTCTGGAAATCTGAAGATGGTCCAATTAATTTTTCCAAAGCATTTTCTGCGGAATATCCTGGTATTTCATTGTCTGACAAACAAATGCCGGGAAACAGACTGCAGTGTATTAAACGTGGTCTAGATGCAGCTGCTAGTGAAGGTTCGAATCACGTTCCTGCTTCAACTTGATAAAATCCATCAAAATATGCCATTTTTAAAATTGGAAACTTATAACAAAAGGAATATAATCGAAGTTCTGTGATTAATCAGTTTTAAATCATCAATGTAAAGGCTTTGTATCTAAACTAACATCATTATATATGTAAACGCAGTTCATTTTAAGTCCAGTATAAATTTAGATAATATGATATCTTCTTCATACCATAATTAAATATAATTAGACATGTGGAACCGTATTGCATTTTAAAAGGTTTCATAGTCAATTAAAGAAGTAATTTCTTATTGTGAATTATTACTTAATCAGTCTGTTAATTATGTGAACATGTTTGTCTAGCTCTATCTAACTTGTGATTTATTTTAGGTAAGATAGACGTGAATACAATAGTTGGAATCCTTAGAGACGAGGACAGTAGCGTCAATTTTGTTGGAGAGCTTTTAACAGTCGGAAGCCAAGTGTCTGTGATTTCCCCGCCCAATTCCAGCCAGCCATCTTGTCACTGGTTTACTGCGACGCCCAATGCAAAATATTCCGTTTTCAAGCCTTTTATATTCTGTGACAATATTACCTTTGGTAACTACACCGTGTCTTCAACGTCAGGAGGGACCGCAAGATCAACATTTCAATCGTCTATTGATCGCAGACATCCGCTCTACAAGGCGCATGAAAAGGGGAGAGAAATCATGGAAACCGGAAGTCCAGCTGGAAAAAATTTGCAGACGACAATGCAAAACTTGGAAAAACAGTGTTTAAGGGAAGTAACTGAGTTTTTGAGAACTTTTAAGGAAACAGACATTAGTGATGTGAAAGACTTATTCAGAGACATTGCAGAATCCGAAGCTAAGTTCTATCATTGAATATTTCAAGATGGCCGTTAGACCAACTGTTTATGTTATATGACATTAACTTTTTTGCAAGCTAATGGTTGTGCTTTTTTAAATATCTACGGTATGAGAAACTTACATCACATCTTGATGTTAATCATATTTCGGTTCATTGAATACATCGATTCATCGGCTATGTGAAACACAAATGTTTGAACGTTATTTTTTCAAGCTTACAATATTTTTCTTTATTACAATGTATTTTAAAACTATAGGAGCCAACGGTGCATTAAAGTGTAAACGTGTGTTCTAGATTCGTATTTGTTGTTGATGAAAAAGGTGTGCGCTAACTGGCTTTTGATGTAGTGTATGAGTAGGTCAATTCAAATTTGTGTTCAGAAAATATGTATGTTTATCATATACCGTGTCTGTGTTGAATCTAGATATTAAATTATTATGACTGAATACTCCATTGTTATTACCTTTCCTCTTAGCGATTTTTCTCTTGTTTGTCTTCTGTGAATGGCTCTTTAAGGTAACATTCTAAATATTTTAGAATACTACAACTTTCCCTCAGCTGCTGAAAAAAGAAATCATTAAAGAGCGCTTAAAACTGCAAATTGATTGTGTTTCATTTCGGTTTGATTGAAAATCTGGAAACAAAGAGATCCCTCGGACGCACTAATCACAACAAAATTACATGAAAGCCTTTTCGTGACGGTACTGGAAGTATACACATCCGCCTGCCCCCTCTCCCTCGGAACTGGTTTGAGCAGGATTCAACATTTAACACGAAATGAATTTAGAAACATCAGTATGTGTGTTCATATGACTGTTAACATTTTAATGTGACACGTTATGACTATTCCATGAAAAGCAGCATATAGTACAGACGTTGGAGAAAACACTCATAAACAGATGCCATAACTGTTCTACGAATGTTACCGTACAAATTACTCGGGAGTAAATTATATCGGATACAATATGTTGGATTTTATTAAACAAGGGTGACAACTGAAATTCAATATTGTCAATGCTCACAGTTTACTATTCTTTAGTTCTGGACAACACGGTAGAATCATAACAAAGCAGTAAGATCACAACCCTAGGGTAATTTCGATCACTCGCCGTGGCACATGTGTTTTGTGAAGATTTTATATAACAAAATGAATAGAAGATTAGTCTCGTTGAACATTCATCATAAAAGCAGTAATTTGACAAATGGGAAGATAGTTTTAATGGAATGTCTCTTCAATTTAACGTTCAGAGACTTAAATAAAGCACCTTCATTGCCGTTCGTTTTTAGTTTCATTGCCCCCGTTAATTAGTTAAAGCAAGCCAAAAAGGCTAAATACGAGATAAATGCATATGCTATTCAAAGATCATAGAAAAAATCAAGACTTTTTTTCAAGATAACAGTTAGTGCTTTAGAAGGTAATATCGTTGTCAAGTGTCCCTACGTAACATATAACAGCTCTCTAACATACTACAGAAGATTCAACTGTATTGCATGCCTCTCATACAAATACGAGTATTAGTGAAGTTGTAACTCACCAACTGGTGCCTTCATTCAAAATGCGATTAAAAATGAAGTGTTCAATTCTTTCAATTAAGTAATTTAAATAATATTAATGTCACATTGAGTCTATAGACATTTAGCAAGAGCAGGACTATAAGACATTTAGCAAGAGCAGGATTATAAGGTTTTTAGTCGCACGGACAGTTTGTAGATTATATGGCAACATTTTAGCATAAGTTATCGTGGATGCCTCGTGTGCCACCTCCATGCGTTACTTCATGTTTAGATGAGCTCCTCCAACTTTCTATAACAGCCGGTTTACCTCAATTCACGAGGTGGATTTAAATAAGGACATGTCACAAGTCCTGTGAAGCAAGTAACACCTTACCTGCTAGAATACGGGGAGTTCCGTGTTGAGTCCGGTGAGAGGAAAATGTATAAGAAAAGGCGATATCAATTATAAATGTATTTTACAAAAAATAATTTACATAACATTAACAGTGAACACACTTATTTTAATATATTTCATAAGTCATATAAAGAATAATGTAAAATACAATATAAATTTATTATAGGTGCTTTCTTTAATTTTGATGTATATTTTCTAAATGTTTTGAGTTTGATTAAAATTTAGGTTGTTTCAATCACATTACCGCCAATCTATAATTATGCATACAATATATATATATATATATAAAGATGTCGCAGAAGTCTTTACTTGTCAATGAGCTTGTCTAATTTTTTTACAATTAATAATTCAGCCAAGAGATTATGACTCTTTATCACATTTGAATGAAGTTGAAATCATGAACATTAGAAATGAAAAGTTTAGTTAATGAGAAACAATGTCAACAACAAATATACACGAACAATTTAGTACTTGAGCTTTTATGTTGCTTATGCCAAGACATGTTTTCTTCTGCTTCAACATCAAATTTAGCAAAATTATATAAACAAGTACCAGCAAAACAAGAAATCAAATTCATCTTTAATGGTGGAGGAAGACTGAGAAGTATTCGAAGTGGTTCCAAGCGGTTACTTTTAATCAAAAACTTGAATAGAAACATACTTGTTTTACAAAACAACTGGGTGGCGTTTCAACGAACACTAACATTATCTTTATTCTGTTTGAAATTGCTTTCTTTAACAAGAATTACAGGCATAAGCAGGAACTAATTTCAACAACGGGTTCTCATTAGGTTATTTAAATATATCTTGATACAATTTATATAAATATATTTTGGTGAATTCGTAAAAAATAACCGTTGCATGTTTAATGGTTTGTTAAGTGAAGCATGGCTTTCTAGATCATATTTAAATTATTCATTCAATGAGAGAATTAAACATTTGCTAAATGAAAACTGGACCCGTTCGGTCTAAAAGCAAAATTATCATACAACAATATCGAGGACATAACTGAACAATATCGCCAGCGCCATATTTATAAGCATTACAAAATGAAAGACAGGAGAACATTGATCGACGAACGCCCTCCTGTCTTACGAACACAAAGTACTGCATTGTCAACAGCAAAAGCTCATAATAAAACTTCACAACGATCTGAAACATGAGCTGATCCTTACTGATTTCAAGTTTTGTCGTCCATCTTTGTCAGCAACTTTTGTGTCGACGCATCATGTTCATTTAACTCAAATTTTGAGTCATCAAGCTCTTCTTGATCTTTAGACACAACCGGTACGTTTTTATTTTCATCATTATTTTCACTGTCTATATATTCCATTTCAATATGTCCATTGCTATTAGATACATTGATATCTGCTTTTGTTTCAGTGCCAGCTTTACCGTCAGTTTGTGCAGTGACATTATTAACATGTTCAGCAAGTCCGTTAACCGGACCAGGAGTGTCATCATTACATTGTGCGGTGGATTTCTTTAAAACTTTTACCGTTGACTTCTTTGGTGGATCATTCTTTACTACATAATAGCGTAAAAACGACTCAGTTGAACGTCTCCCTTGCTGAAAAACAAGCAAACAAATCCAAAATTATATTGATAAAAATGTAAATAATTAATTGTAGATTTTGGATTTTTTCTATTCTTAATATTCAGAATTTATGACGAGGTTTGAACCAATGCGATATGATAACCATTCGGGCATGCGACACCATCAAATGAACAAGCTTGTTACAAAGATGTTTTTTGTTTTGTTTGTTTTTTTTTGTTTTTTTTTTGTTTTGTTTTTTTTAAATATCATCCTATTTTTAATATTATCATTAAAATGATAAAAAAACTCTATAGCACAAGACTAAACCAGTGTTTCATTTTTTCATTGAATGAGATAAAATGGCAAACCTTTATAACACAAATGAAATGTTATTATAAAATATCAATTTGAAACATTAATGCTATGGTCATGGATGGAATATAATATTTCACTAGTAAAATATAGTTTAATTAATCCGCTGCAGATTGTTTTTCTGTATTCATAATGATTTCTTGAATCTTATCTACCTATGTCATTATATTTTATAGCTATTACTTATCTTATGCACTTTTTATCATATGACGTTACGCAAAAGTCTCCTATTTTTCATATTGTAAAGTCTGATTACAAAACATATTTCACTCCTGTCAAAGTAAAGTTTATAATCTGCTTAATAAAAGAAGCAATGCATTGATTCTCACCTCTACCACAAACTCTCTATCAGCTACTTCCAGTTTGAAATCAGATGTTCCAACATGACCTGTGTTAATCCCGACAGTCCTTTCGATATCTCTCTCCTGAAAAGAATAAATATTTCGGAAATGACACATACATTGTTTGGTACAGGCAAGAGAAATACTTTGGCAACTGCATAGATAAAAGTGTCTAAAATGTAATATGAACTGAATATAATTTACAAAAATTTTAATCTATAAGAAACAAGTTTTAAGGTAATATCTTTATTTATTTTTTGGTGAGTAATTCTTCTCTCTTTCGAACGTTATTGAAATTACTTGAAGACGAACTGCATTCTATTACTTAAAATATTCAATAAATCTGGCAGCATATTTTAAATGATTTTCTTTTTCATAGCTTTGCTGGTGGAGGAAGATACCAAGTGCTTTTCTCCCGGCACTATTTCAGGTCCAAGCATACGTGTTACCATGCAACATCAAGCTTTAACACTCGAAACAATAATCTTACCTCTACGTGGATACGTTTTACGTTGGTGAGCAGTGCTGATTGTAATGTGTCGAAAAATGAAAACAGTCCTTTGATTTCCTTTCTTTGGTAACCAAGGAAACGGGCTTGTAAGGAGACACCAGTTCTCTCAATGAAATGAACTATTTCGTGATAATACACCTGCAAGATAAGATATAAAGTGATAGTACACATGGAAAAATATTTCGTGATTAGTATTTTAAATAAACCAAGATAATAGACATAGAAAAAAATAGTACCTGGTAGAACACCTGAAAATATTTGATTGTGATGATTATAGGAAAGTTGGGGACTTCATATCCAGTCAGGGACAAGCCGTTCTTTCCTTCAGAAAGAACCTACACTTAGTACTGGTTGTTTCTAGGACGGTAAATGGATTTGAAAGAAAGTGTGTTTATAAGCATATAGTTTCCTACACAAACTTACTGAAGTAATTTAAGTATAACCTTAACACTGTGGCTATCTTATCAGAGATAATAATATGAGCCGCGTCACGACAAAACCAACATAGTGTGTTTGCGACCAGCATGGATCCAGACCAGCCTGCGCAGATAGCCTGCGCATCTGCGCAATCTGATCAGGATCCATGTTGTTCGCTATCAGTTTCTCTACTTGTAATAGGGTTGGTAAGCGAACAGCATGGATCCTGATCAGACTGCGCTCATATAATTTTCAAGCGTTTAAATTGACATTGACCTACCTCGCCATTCCCGTCTTCGTCAAGAGCCTCCATAGCTTCATCTACAGTGACATTTCTACCAAACAATCTCTCAACGTAACGCTTGGGGAACTCTTCTGTCTGCAAAATACAAACATGGTTATCTTATGTCACTAATCCTTAGCGATATGCCGCCAGTAAGTAGATAAAATGTCATAAAAATTAATGCGATCTGACAAGACTCTATAAATGTAGCTGCTCATATTTTATTGAATTTGTCCTCCCTCAAAATAACTATTCACAATTCCCTACTTAAAGCAAGATAATTCTCCGCAATTGTTACAATGGGCATATTTTCTGATTTTGATAGCTTTATCGTTCAATATGTATGTGTTTTCGTTGAGATGTACTTTTTCTATATGTTTGCTTTTCCCAAGCTGAACAAATTAATAAAAGTTTTACTTTAAATAATTGTTGACTCAGCAAACAAGACTTATTCAAATGTTGTAAGAAAATAGTCTTCATCTAAGCTACTACACTTACGTTTAAAATGAAATTCAAAATTGTCTTAAAATATTTTGGACCTTAATTTATATAATGATTAACTAAATGCGATACATTTGTGCTATGTTTACGTGAAGCAGGCATGGTAAATCTCATATAGCAAGACTTTAACGGATGGGGGAGATATTTGGTGCCAAGTTTAGCACTATTTCACGCACGATCCGGCACTTGAGTAGAATCACCAACCTAGACCAATAAGTAAACTTCCTCACATGAAGTAATCCAAAGTCCTTCACAAGATTATAGAATCATACTGACGAGCTTCAAGAAGCCAATGTAAACAACCCTAACCAAAACCGTAGGCTATATTAAATTTCATATAAAAATTAAGACTTACATCATTAAGGGCGTTTTTTAACTCTGATTTACTTATTTTGTCGTCATTGTCTTTGTTGTGTTTCTTCAGCACCTGAAAATTAAAAGAATGATTGAAATAATTAAAAATAAATATTAACCGAACTCCGAATCACTAAACATGTGCCCGGTAACAAACTTTAACAAACAAACTATTCCTATCCAGTAAGTTCGTAGATAGGGAAGACATAACCATGTTAATAATTCAACCGAATTTCGTCAATTCTTCAAACAAATAATCATGATTGGTACTTGTTTAATTGAATTCGAAAAGCTACAAATTTTAATCAATAACAATCTTTTGTTTGTTTTTGTTAAACCGGCTCATTTATAAATACATGTATGTAAGATACATGTATATAATATTTACCTTCAGAAAAGCACTGACTGCATGAAGATTGCGTATGTGTACCAATTTTACTTTCTCTTGCATTTTCTTCTTTCGAATCTTCTCCCTGGAAAGATATTTTCATTTTAAAAATATGCAGAAAATTATTTCCCTACAAAAGTGAAATAGATATTATATTAGATTTTATACTTGGTAAAGTTAATATGTAAAAAGGACTGTACTTAGTGTTTTTCCTTTTTTGAGCAATACCACGTGAAAAAAACATTGATGTAAACAAACCTACTTATAACCTGACCCATTACTTCATATAGACGTCTTTTCCCCCCCCCCCCCCCCCCCTCAAGTAGTGGTGTATCAATCAAGACGAATTACAGCCCTTTAATACAGGAACGCCATTTGCATGTGAACATACGTCGTAGGAAATACGTTCTATATCAAATTATATTTTCAATGTTAGTTTGTTATTATTCTGTTGTAAATTATAATGTGAGTATTCCTTTGAGGTAAGTTTAATGAAATGTATAAATAGCTTTTTTCTATAATGTTTTATTTGATATTATGCGTAATGCAAACTATATGATCTATATTACATTATTAGCAGTATAATTGTATTGTAAGTTGATTAGCCGTAAGAGGGCGTTGTTGTGCAATACATAAATATCCAGAGGTTCAGTTGGGTTGGTGAAAGTCAGATTGTCAACATCTTATGTTGGAGCTTTGAAGTTATACCTGCTATATATGATATTGTCTGTAATCCGTGTACGCTACCGGAAATGGTTGCAGGCTTTTATATAGTACAAAGTAAAACCGGGTTGCATAATATTTGTTGGATAATTGTTTTGAGATAAATAAACAGAAGCATAGAAAATACGAGCATAGTTAAACAGGAAGGCATCGAAACGTTATATGTTGGAAAGGCATCGATACTAGGAAAGTCTAGGATTTGGGATTGTTAACATATATATCCATAGTGTGTATTGTTTATTTAATATTCGTTTGATTCAAGTTGACTGATTTTATATTCCAATCATTTTGAAATCATTGGTCTTCAATCATTTAGGTAAGGAAACCTAGAGAAAAATTATTAATGTAATAAATTGAATACAAATAACAACGTATATTTAAGCGCGGTATTGTTACAGTGGAAAAATGCTTTATCTAGACCCCAAACACTAGTTTTCGTTTGAGAAATGGTGTTAAAAAGTGATACCTTTTTCGGCGCCATCCCCTATCAAATAGATACGTCAAGGGGGTGCCAGAGACGGGACGTGCCCCATTCTGTTTTTTGGGGGGTTTGAAGGGTGTCGACAGATCACCTTATCTCCAAGAAAACTTTGGACTTGTGAGAGGCTAAAAATGGCCTCAGGTTGACAATAAGGTAACGTGTAACCAACGCTGAAAAGACTTTTACTCTATCTCAATCCATTGAGAAGTTTCAGCACTTTGAAATCAAATTTGATTGAAAAATTAACGCAAAATAGTTATTTTTTTGGCAATTTTGAGACGCCCCCTCGTTGCAATGGTTACAGGAAATTTAAGATTTAGTATGCCGTTATAAAGGCTATGGTCCAATTAACAATTGTGCCAAGCTTGAATAGTATTAAAGCCTTTTTATAGTTTCATAGCAATTTGAACTTGAACATGTAACAGGAGGCTTTGTAACACCGCACTTTAGGATCAAATGCACTTTGGGATCAAATCGAGAAAATGACCCCAATGTGCGTTGATATGCTACATATCAACGCACTTTTGGTTTTAGAGTTCTGAAGTTGTCAACTGAGTTCTGCTTAAATACTGTGTACTGACCTTTTTTCGGTATCCCACACTGAAATATTTGAGGTAGAGCTCAAGATGTCGGTTGATACTTATATACAACAATATTTCTAAATGTCATTTAAATACTTATGTAGCAATAATTAAAATATGTGTTTGATGTTTTATTGAAGTGTTTTATTAATGTTACCACTTGAAATATCTAAAAATCGCGTCTATATAACAAACAACTATAGTACTCAAATTGCGAATGTATTCCTACAAATTCGAAAAATGTCATGTTATGTCAGCCATTTACTAGATAACTTTTAGTGTCATATCGAACCCCATATTAAATATGATGGGGTCTAATAAAATGCAAATAATGTCATCTCAGTGCATTTTAATTTCTATCTTAAATATTTAGATTCTAAATATTTAGACTTGTAACAAGTTAGTTATAAAAAAATTATTTATCATAAATTGAATAAAGTTCCGTGGGCAGTTACATCAAGCCTTTTTCACATCATTATAAACCGAAAGCAGTAAAAGATGCAAACGTTAATTTACAGCACGGACAGTTAACACTTTCAGTATGTTATTTTGGGTCATACTTCAGGTTTTGAAAAACGTATCTGTTTGATGTACCATTAAAACCACTGCCATTTTGAAATCAGACAAGATGTATTTTCCCGAAAATTACAAAATGTACGTGATTGAAAATAATGCCTGCCGTAATCGGACGTAAATTTCATTTAAATAATTATACACTTATGATCTTGCTTCTTATTATATGGCACCCATCTTGGAACCCATTTGAAATGTTTCATTTTCCAGTAGTGTCAGGAACTGGATTTTAATTAGATGGAAACATGTATGACATGCAATCTCTACAATTATTGACACACAACGCTAGCTCATGAATATGGTATCAACTACAAGATATTATTTTAAAACGTTCTAATTCATTGAACTCTTATGACCCCAAAGTGCGATCGCTTGTCTGATGTTATAAAAAATCCATATGTACCTGTGTACCGCACTTTGGGGTCAAAGTGCGTTGAACCCCAAAGTGCGGTGTTACAAGGCTTTTCAATAAAATGCTAATGAAGTAATGGGATAAGTGTATGTCTTATAAGAATACTTATTATTAGTACCATTAGAATGTACTAGAACATGTGCGCTCATCAGGTACAACAATATATATCTATACTTTTATTTCGCTTTAAGTTTAATAGTTCCATGTTTGGCCTTTTCACTCACGTTGTCTTGTTTTTATTTTACAAAATGACTGTACCATAAACACACATAAAACAAACCACACACTTCACAGTGCAAACGCCTACTATTTAGCTGAATGTAAACCTATGTTGCATTTAGCATAGCAAAATATGAGACTGTATTTGCATAAACTAGCAACAACTGTGAAAACACATTAAACAACACAAAAAGGTCGACATCTCAATACATCCCCACACTCCTCTAATTGCTCCACCCTTTCAAATATAATCATTGATTGATAAAATGAACACTGTCTGTGTCTGACACTACTTCCGAGATGAAAAAGCTATTTAAGGGTATTAACGAAAAAATTACATCTTGCTTTCTTACGTTACATCGTGCTTTCTAACTTGTGCATCTTGCATTCTGACTTGTACATCTGACATTCTGACTTTTACATGTTGCTTTCTTACATGCACATTATGCTTTCTGCTGTGTGCGTCTTGCTTAATTGTATGTTGATATCATTATTTAACGAGCAATTATTATTCATTTGTTGATCTTGTATACATTTGTATTAATTAAATTTATAACTTTACCTGCAACTGTTTGTATTTGGGTTTATTTACTCAGCTTAAATGACGAATGTCATAAGGTAGAATGACGCATAGCCGAAAGCCGACGATACTATGCGACATCTGGTGTAATAATATGTGACACCCAAATTATGCTAACAGGCGGCGCTACAGTTATATCTTCGGTAAAGTCCGTATTGCGGTTCGGATTCAGTTTACCAAGTTACGTCCCTTTGTTTCCACTATGGAGCAAATAAGGTAAACATATATACAAAACGATATAACCAATTTTTGTATTTATTACTGAAACTGTGTGGGTCAAATTATATTTCAAGCTGACAATGACAAGTTACACATTTCCAAATCAATGATTTTAGAGTTATTTTTTATCAACAAAACAATGTTGTTCAAAGTGTTTGGGTATGAAAGGTGATAGATATTCCGGATACTCGTATATTTTCGGTAATTTCCGTATGGTTCCGTACATGTTTCCGAACTTGCGCCAAAAGAGTGTAGTTTCCTGCCTTGTTGTATTGCACTCAGTGCGTGTTTCCATGTATTATTTATACATGTATAATCGATTAACATAGGTTTCCTATTTTTGTACACATTAAATGTAGACAGTTTACGATCATTATAATTAAACTGAACTGATTTTAGCATCAAACATATAACTTTAACGTAGACAAATTTGAAGATAGTCAAATAACGAACGATTCATGCAATTTAAAGCAAAATGTGCAAGTCATAATGCAAGATGTGCAAGCCAGAATGCATTGTGTGCATGTCATAATGCAAAATGTAATAGTAAGAATCCAAGATGTACAAGTCAGAAAGCACAATGTAACGTAAGAAGGCAAGATGCAATTTTTGCGTTAATATCCTTCCATATTTTCACACTTCTTTTATTAAATAAGTAAACCATACATATCGTTCAACAGTAGATGAAAATGATGCATATATTTCATTTCTACCCACATACATACATGGAGATGATTAATAAACTTCTGGGCCATTTTTTTCTTAGCAAAAGTGATTTGATTTGTGACCAAAACAAACGCGTCTGATATCTTATATAGTTATTTAATTATTGATTAGTTTTTGCAATTTTATTTTGAGGAACGGTGATGGAATCAAAGGCCTTTGCCTTTAACTTGAATACGTTTTAATGTGCAATTAATTCATGCAAAATTTTACCTATTTTTATATGTATATTTCAGTCCTATACACCCTTATGGCTATTTTTTTAAGAGAATTGTGCAAGCAAGTTGATAGAAGCACATTTCATTTCAGTACTGCAAAATAACAATCCACATAAAACATGTATGTTCATTGAAAATAAAATAAACATGCCTGTTGAGTAAGTTAACACGCTGAATAAAACAATTGATTGTTAATACCTTCTAAAAACTCACCTTAAGAATTCGCTGCAAAACAATTTTCATTATTTTGCAAAGACATTATAATTCACATATATTGCACAATCTATTATTACATTGGCCCCTATTTCCCGGAGGGGGGAGATAGGGAAATAGCTAGGTAATAAGCCTAGTTTTATTTTTTTTATGGACTGACACGAGTATCTTGTGGGTTTGTTTTAACATGCAGTAAAAGGTTTTCAGCGTAAATTTTAACATCCGATTATCCCTGCAAAGAGGAGCCTCTGACAAAATATTCAAAATACAAACACCGAAAGGAATGCCGCTCATCAGTGATGGGAGATCCCAGGTTATAATTGACTTAGTAAATAAAAGATAAATAAAAGATTATAAGAAATAAAATGAAAACTGAGAAACATTTTAGATATTAGTAAAATAAATTACAATTGAATATTTGGGAAAAAAAGCAGACAACATTTATAAATCTGAAAGAAATGCGCTTCTATTGTTTTTTGCTTATTACAAAAAAAAAAAAAAAAGAAAACAACAATAAAGCTTGAACTTACTTTGCTAGTTTTGTGTCTGGAAAGGGAGGTAAGTCTACGCCGAGTCTTTGTTGTAGAATATCTCGCAAAATGTCCCTTTCATTATCGGCATACTGTGAAAAAGAAATGAATCAGTAAAACGCATACCAATTGAACCAAGTACTTCCCTATACCCGGCATGCTTTCACTCGGTTGCCTGGTGGATTCTGGAATTGTAATTTCAAAGTTGGACCACAAAAGATGGGTGAAGACATTTCAAATTCACGAGTTTTTAATTCAAAATATTAACTTGCAGAATTTACCATTTTCAGCATATCTGACGCCTATTGTCTGCATTGGTCAATCTGGACAGAGGCTATGTTATGTTGAAAGTATAACTGAATAACTGAAGAAACAAACTTTATATGATAAGTGTTTGTATGCACTTGTGCTATGAACACTTTAATGTTATGTTTTTGTTTATCTTTTATATATTCTTTGTAGTTTTAATCGCATGCATGTAATATGCCATGATTAAATAAATAAACTAAACTAAACTGTACGTAAACCGCATTGCAATCTTGCATATTAAAGTCTTATTAAACGTATTGAATGCTTATGGTGATAAATGACACACATGTCGCGTGCAGACAAACCAGACTATACCTTCGTTTGCTTAATTTTAGTTGTTTTATTTATCTATTTATTTATTTATTTATTTATTTATTTATTTAAATCCCCTTAACTAACATTGAGCAGTTCTACATTCAAAGCAGGATGAGTCCATTCCACAAAGGTCAGCAGCGTTCATATTTCAAATAACTATAACTTACTAGAAGGAAACCTAGTGTTGTTTCATTGTATGTACCGAATCTCTCTTTCTTTTCAAACAGTTTGGGAAAATTCTCCAAAGGTTGTAGTTTGTTCAAGAAACTGTCCTCCATTTTCATGGATAGCCACCATCCTGTGAACATAAAATATTTTCATGAAGATATGATTACATAATTACTTATTATGCTCTATAAAATTATCGTCGGAACCCACGTGTACTGATTTCACTGCACTACATTCATGAGAATGAAGTGTACAAGTAACTTGTACCATGGGTTACCGAGAATGCAGTCGAATATAATTTCTTCAGTGATTTGAGAATTTAATAAATAAATAGAAGATATTGAATGAGTGTAAGTTTAATACTGAATTAATTGAACGAGTTGAATAAAATTATTATATGCGAGCATAATATTATTTTATTCAACGAGCTCAATAAGTTTATTATCAAAACTTACACGAATTTAATATTCTATTTATCACATACAAAAAATAAAGACCGTTTGAAGTGAAAAAAAATTTTTTTTCATCGAAGCACCTATATATGATAACGCTAACATTTATAACGAAAATGACGGCACGTCAAATATATGCACAGCCGTGCAAAACCATTTTTACGGAGTCGTAAAAGCGGCATTGGTATGTGATAAATATGTATAGCAAACACAAAATATGGACATATGTAATTCGTAAATAAATCTTCAATATATGTGCTCAACAATCCAAAATATAATTTGACTCTAAAATACATTTTGAACATGTTTCTTTTTTTTTCTTATATTCGTTTAATGTCTTACATTCGTTTAATGGTAGAAATGAGACGAAACCTTTAACTTTGATATGATATTTCAGTATGAAATAGCTCCATTTAAAATGAAGTAATATGATATAAACGGTATCTCATTACTTTCGTGATAATAATAGTTCTTTGATTTATTGCTGTTTTTTCTATCTCTATGTTAAACAAAATTTATTTGTAACTATTATAATAAAACCATTGACGCGGAAAACATTTCAAAGTATTATTTATGATGCTCAGTGTAACGATATATAGCTTTCCCATTGATATAAAAATTTGAAATAAGATTATCATGTGGTTTTCTTTTATTGACAATGACATTGACTTTTGCCCTAAAATAAGAAATAAGATACATCATTTGCTTAAATTTTGTAAAACGTAAAAAAACACACACACTAAAAAATAGCAACAACAACACAGATGATAAAATATAAGTCTCAATCTCAAAAAGAGTTAAATGCATCATACTAAAATGATAAACGTATCACAAAATACCTATTTTATCATTCTCAAAAGAGATAATTGACTCAATAAAGATAATTATCTCATACCCAAAATTAATAATTGGTAAATGCTAACAAGTAATCACTGATTCATACAAAAAGAGGTAACTTTATCATACTTGAAAGCTTAAACTGTCAGGTATACAAATGTGAATTTCTGCCTCATTTTCAAAGATATAACAGCCTCATTAATAAATTAAATAATATTGAATACAAGTATAGTTGTGTCATACTCAACATATACATAAAAGAGATAGCTGCTTCAGACTAAAACAGATTACATTCTTATACGTAAAAGAGGTAACTAGTGTCTTATACTTAAAATATGTACCTGCCTCACGCTCAAAAGAGTTGACCAAATACTCAAAATGGGTTGTTTTTACTCAAAAGCTGTGACTGTGTAATAATAAAAAGATTTAACTGCATCAGAATCAAAAGAAATAAATTCATATACTAAAAGAGCCAACTGTATATGATCAAAAGAGGTAGTTAACTCTGGCTTAAACGAGATAACTGTATATTCGCAAAAGAAGTAAAACTATCTTATATTTAAGAAAGACATTATTCAGTCTTATACTCAACAGGCATAATTGTCTCATATTAAGAATATATAACTCTCGCAGAATAGATTTTTGAATTAGACTCTGTAGAACATTGCTATGTCACTCCTTAGTTCTATTTTAAACATGGTATTCGTCAACCTTAAAACCAGACGATTTTAACGTTAGATATGTGAACTGATAACCAATCTTAAATTGAATTTACAAAATTTAAATGGGTTTACAAAATCGTTTTCAAAATAAATTATAAAAGCAGGTTTAAGTGTTACCTGGGTAATAAATAATTTAATGTTTGTTTTTCGTTTTTTCTAACAGGATGTGGTTAATAAACACTTTAAAAGAATTCGTTTTCGTGAGTAATAATATTCGTGATTTTTGTTCAAATGATACGTCAAACTGATTAAAATACTTTGCTAAAGTCGACTCCGTTATGTCGTTACGTTATTCCACAAATCGATCGTAAACTATATTCACATTGAAGATAACTAACCAATAATTATGTCCATAAACTCTGTATTGACTCTTAAAATAAATGAAGGTGTGAAATTCTTTCTTGAAATAAGATTTTATCTATAGAATAAACAAACATCTTAGTTGCTCTTACACTATCGAAAACGGTTCTAGTTTATATTAATTCATCGGAAACCATTTATATGGGATATATTGAAATAAAAACAAACTAGTGAATTAAAATCAGTTATAATAATATTGATGAATATCATTTAGAATATTTGTTTAGCTGTGTTTAAAAAGTAGTTCGGATGGTGTTATCATTCTTTGCGTATTTTATAAATGGTTATGAATTATCAAGTCTTGGAGGGCTAGCCATGATAATGATTGGGTTATATAACCAGTAAAAGTCATGCCGTCTGACCGTATTGATGACATGCTATTGTATAAGCAATAGCCAGTAACACAATCGCAAATCAATACGCTGTTAGTGTATCAAGAAATGTTACTAGGATAATCTAATATTATGTTCCAATTAGTTTCTGAAAACACATTATCTTAAACATAACCACGTGATCATTTACAGAACAAAATGTTTTCATCGTAGAAGCTCATAAAAAGTCAGTCAAGAGAAAGAGAAAAAGCCCATTCAAAACATCGTTATAACTATGTGCGACAAAATATCAAGAGTAGCAAATTATCAATCTTTGCAGTGTTTGTAACTTTCTTCAGTGTGTAAATGTCTATGGGATGGTGAATGTAAATTAAATGCTTAATTTTTTTTTTTTTTGACTATGATACAAAAGAGAAAGAACATCAAAACACTCGGCAATCTGATTTATACAAATCAGATAGCCTCGTGTTTCGATGATCTTTCTATGAATTACTATTTGGGGAAACAAGCATTTCAATATGTTTGTACTAAATATTAAACAAATGCAAAATACCAACCGGCGTCACAAAAATCCAAATCTTATAAAATGATAACAATAATCTACACTGCATTTTTGAGAGAACATTAAGTAAACTAATACCTATGCAATTAGTCATCAATGATGTGAAAATAACATTTTAAGCGAAAAGTATTTTCAATTATCACTTTTAAGTTGCGTTTCATGGCCGTTTAGATTGTTCAAGAATGTGTCAGGTAGTTGTAAGCCGCAAGCACAGCAAGGTTGCTTTGTTAGATATAACTCCTACTTCTAAATTACCATCAATGAACTAAGCATGCTATGCTTTGAATTCGAAACACATCATTGTCACTCTATGAGCAAAGCGGGAAATCAAGTCACATTAACCCAGCCAGTACTCTTTAAGTCTTCAAAGGTGTGTGTAACATGTAAATGGGGGCTTTATGAAATGAAATAGCTAAAACATACACCTATGCCTTATGTGGTGATGAAATGAATATCAGTTGGTGATTAACAATTCTAGGCAGAAAGGGAAACTTTGTAATAGTTGAACTTGTTCATTGATTCTTCTGTAAGTTAATTACACAAGATTTGCCATGCAATATGCTACAAGTAAAGCTATGGTATAATCTGAGAAGTGCTTAGAATGCTATATGGCTTTTTATTGTTCAGCTGGGACATGACGCAGCAATCTGAATGGATACTTAACATTTCATTGGTATCAACATGGGGATAATCTAAGAATGGATTTTATGTATTGAATGTTTCCATGTCAAGCAATAATACAATTGTTACCGGGATAGTTATACATGGTTTTGTTTTAGTTATATCTGTGTACCAGGCACAATGATTGTACTTAATCATTCCATTGTAAATTGTCTGATATTAAAAGCAAATTGATGGCCGCATGTGACTGAATCTGATCAATAACCGAGTTATACAAGTGGCCATGTTATTTGTTTTGTAACAAGAATTAAGTATGGATATTATAGTGACAGATGTATGCCATCTCGAATGTTCACCATTTTCGCCACGAAAATGTGAAAAGGCGAAAATATGACATGGCTTTTATCAGTTACTATATATAGGGGATACAGATCAAGTTAGTGGTACAGAGGAAATGAATTGGGAATTGGGAATGTAGCTCAAAACATATTTATTTTGTATAAAAAGTATTAAAGAAAAAGTACAAAAGAAGGAACACACTTGTGAAATATAGAAATACGTAAATTAGCTCTAAAAGATACTTAAAAGTTGTCTAACTATATTTCTATATATCAAGTTGTAATATAGTGAAATTCAATAAATGGGCGCATGTGTAATGCAGACAGACGATCGGACAAAAAGCAGAACACATTGAATTCAGTTTAATAAACAAAAATTAAAAAATGCCATGATATTGTGCACAAAGAAAAAATATTTAAAACAAAGCGCACTTGTGTATAATAAAAGATAGATAAAACATTAATATGTTCGTAAACTTTACAATTGCATTTGTGTTCTTAACAGAATCTCATCTTTGGGGGTGTCGGGGGAACGTTTCCTTTTGTAAATTTCTTACATAACCACACAGTATACTTTTTACTTTTCGCAAGAATTAATATATTGAAGAATTTCCATAATCATGACTTACCATCATAACAGTTGATTGGATAATTACACAACACGCCCCCATCAACGTACGTGTTCTCTTCACCATGCAAATCGTATTTACTAGCCTGAAACAAGCCTGTAGAAATAAAAAAAATATATAAATCGTATTGTTTACACTGCACTAAGCTAACTGTGATTTATTTATATTATTTGTAGAGTTTTATTGGATGATAATCATCCGCAATTGACTGACCTTTATCTTACGGGCTATTCTCTGGCTAGTTACGTAGGTAAAGTGTTCCTTTGTGTTTACAATACACTTATCTAAATATGGTTTATTAATATTATATCTAATAAGCTTCTCTTGATCATCATTGTATTTGGTAAATGTCTGACCTTTCCTGGGGCTTTTAGTTTGGATAAAGCTATTTCTCATTACCAGTTAAAATATAACAGTCAACGAATTGTACTAGTTTTAAACCTACTTTTAGTTTATTATTAATTTTGACCTATAATACCGTCACTAGTATTGGTTCAAACGACATCATCTTAGTCTCATTTAATTCACATTTTCATTTTGTTTATCTCAGAATATATAGTTTTATGCAAAAAAGACATAACTCAATTAGTACAATAATATAGGTAATAAGATAAAAAAGGCTTTAAACATCAGTAAATTCTAAGTGAATATAGTGTCGTGTCTTGGGTAATCAGTTAGCGTAATTGATAATTAAGACATAATTCTCGGAAATGTTTACTTGAAATCATTAAGTTATATTCATTAGAAAGATGAAATGTATTGTTATTAAAGAATGATTACTCCTGTGAGACATCTTTATCAGAGGCAAAAAAAATGTTAATTTACTGGTATAAAAAAGATATAAGTAAATGAATAAACCAATAATCATTTGGAAAGGAATGCATGTAGACAGTTATAGCAATTAGCGTTAAGAAGTACATATTGAAAACTCATAGCAAAAACTGCTTGTTATACTGATATACCGAAATAACCCCAGCACGTGGATTAGACATTAACAAGTGTAGAAGGTGTAAAAGCAGACGATAATGATGCAAGAAAACTGTTATGCGTCGGTTGGCATTCATATCAGATCAAGGAATTCCTGGAGAAATTAAAATTGCATTGCGAAAGGTTTGATACAGACTGCACACATTTTCTGATCTTTGTACGTTACCTGGAATAGACATGGACATGCGCACCGCGACTCTAACTGGAACATCCGGTGACGTTTTTGGATGAAAGTATTCTGCATTCATCATATTTAGATTGGTGACAACAACACATAACTCCCTCCCGTATTTGTCATAAACCTGAAAGTGTATTAGAAAATGGGTTCTATAAGTTTTTGTTTTAAGTCAAAATCTATAACTATTGTAACTTTGTTAGTAACACATATATAAATATTCTGAATATAGAAAAATGTTACTTTTAAAAGTCATCGATACGTTTGTTTATCACACACCCGTGCCGATTTTGCGACTCCGTAAAAATGGTATTGCACGGCCGTGCAAACATTTTGATGTGACGTCATTAGCGTTATATAGACGCGCTAAATGTTAGCGTTATACGGTCTTTATTTTGAGTATATGATAAATAGAATATTAAATTCGTGTAGGTACATTACTGAATCTATTGCACTTGTTGAATAAAATAATATTATGCTCGCCAGAGGCTCGCATAATATAATTTTATTCAACTCGTGCAATAAACTTAGTATTGAACACTCATTCAATATCCTCTATATCTTACAGTTTAGTACATGAATATAGTACATATATTATTAGACTGTCTATAAACTATCAATTTTCATAGCGACTAAACTTACACAAGTATGACTAGGGGCAAAATAATCTTACCAACGAAGGGCTTATGGAAGAAAGATAAGAAAGCGGCCAATTATATACATATAAGTAATATATAAAACTTACTTTTAAAACAGTTAAAAAATAAAGATTAAAAAAACAACTAAAAATCTGACTATACTCTCATACAAAGAAAAGTTCAAGGGTCTTATGTGCATTTTCCAAGTTTCCTCATTTATCAATTCACTTTACATGGGGTCAATGTTTGATCCTGATCTATACGTTATCATATACGACGAAGAAGAAAAAATCAATGTGTTCTAGTACGTCAAATCTTTGATGTCTAATTGTTTCAAACTAAACCAATAAATAATTCATACCACACATCTTTGAAACGTGACAAGACATAGATATATATCTAAGTATCTGTTTCACAAAAAAAGTAAATTATTCTAACAAAAACGTACATTTTATAGATCAAAGAATTGAAGAAACACCTGCGTTCAAAAAACGCAAAGTTCAAATGTAATGTTGCTTTAGTCTATATTGAAATCAAGTCTGTGTTATGTTTATTTTTGCAGATGAAACGTGTGTGGATTCATTAGACCCTTGCACGCTGAATATCGTAACTCCACTTGTCCATCTTTCAGTCTGGACAAAACCATTCATCTTCATCATTTTGTTTTAGAGAAAATTTACAATATGTACCACACTGCAGACCATAATAAGACGTCACTGATGTGTTAATATTGGTCTGCACTGGTCGCATGGGTAAAATAGGTAAAATAGGTTGCCACTAGGACCTGGTTGTTCAAAACATTGGTTAGTGATAACCAACGGATAAAATCATTATGCACTGGCTAGATTTGTCTGTTGGTTCAATAGTTATCTAACGGATTAAATGCGTTATCAAGTGGTTAACTTTAACCAGTCAATAACCCCCGGTAATCCCCTTTAAACCCAATTTGGTTACCCATCATTTTAAAAACAGTAAAAATTTTTTTAAACCCCCTGTCTAAAGCCAGATTTTTTTCAAAAATTTATGTTTAAATTTTTTTTTTAACTAAAAACTTTTCAAAAAAATTTGAATAGGATTAAATTTTAAACATTTCTAAAAATGTGCTTTTAGAGCCCTTTTTCAATCTCATTTTGTTGTTGTTGTAGTTCAGAAAATTCAGTTAAACAGTCATTACTTTCTTATTTTTTTATTAAAACATACAAGTGTCACTAAACATAAAGTATCTAATGGAAATAATTTCAATTAGAAATTTGAAAAAAGATTTTTTCTTATGTGATTCTAAGGGAAAAATAGATCCATCGATATTTTAAGGTCAATGGTGTTTAATTCCAAAACCATGAAAGCACAAAACATGCAAAATTAATTCTTTGGGAGCTTCCTGATTCTTAGAAATTTATTATTCATCAGTAAATCAGCCATTTTGTTTCCAGAATCACTAACCGACCCTGTGGCCAGGTAGCCAGGGTACTATCCAACTGTCGAACAATGAAATTATATCCACTGGATAGCTGGCCGATGGTTAAGGATTTAACTAGTGAATAAGCTATCCATTGATTACTTTTAACCAATGTTTTGACAGCCCAGTCCAGAAGGCTAAGATTTATGTTATACTCAAATAGGATAATATTGCTTTCTATATAACTGCCCCCCCCCCCTCTAAAAATAAATAAGTAAAATTTTTAAAAAAATGATGAGATCAGGTAAACATACATTTCTCGGGCACAGATTTACCTATTAAAATGATGCGCATCGTTTGCTTGTTATTTGATACATTATTAAGTGTTAGTGTTAAAAGTATGTATTTTTTGTCATTTTAATCAAAATTCTTATCAAATGTGGTATAGGTTTACCAACAAGTAACTTTAAAACAACCATAAAATTAACGCAAAAGAAGTCTTAAAGTTTAAGATGTGCAACAAATAACGATTCAATTTCGGTTATCTTAAAATGAATAAAAGTATCATACTGCAGTTTTTACAACACATGCTTTATCAAATCATGACATCATGAGTGGCGGCCTGGCCGAGTGGTTAACTCGTCGGACTAGTAATCTAAGAATTGATGACCGCGTGGGTTCAAACCCTGTCAAAAGGCAAGCCGTTGTTTCCTTGAGCAAGAAACTTTACATTCATTGCTTAGTACTGGTTGGTTCGAGGAACGGATTCGAGAATGATTCAATAAGCTTATAGCTTCCAACACAATCGAACAAAAATAAATTTGTATAAACTAAATCATGACAGTTTCAACGTTAGAATATGAGTATGTCTTTAATCGTGTCGTGCTAGCCTTGCTTTGTACAAATCGTAATTTACAGTATTATGTGATAATGCACGAGAAAGAGCCATATTTATTCAGCAAAGATAGACAATATCCCATAAAACATCTTTAGAATTAATGCAAAAAAGTTTCTCTTAAATTACAATGGTGTGGTTTCCTTTATCAGCACTAAATGCCTTAAACTTTCATAGATTACGCATTTAGAATTTCTGGGTTGACAACGCAACAATTGGGAGATTAAGAAAGAATAAAAAGCAGCTGAATATGGCAATGTCAAATCAAATCTCAATATTCCCAAGATAGATCTTAAATGTAAATCCGACATCAACTTTAAATTATAGACGCAAATATAAAATTCATTAAAGTCTTCTTACATCAGATATAATCTGATTTGAATGCGCCTCCTCAAAATCTGGACTGAAATTTGCATTTTTTGTCTGAACCAGATGTAACTTTGAGAGGATAAATTATAGCTGGAATTCTCAGAACGCTGGCATAATCAATACGACGATGACAATCTTCAGCCGCCTTGGAATTAATTGCTTTTTTAAACCATAACTTTAACACGGATCTAATTAAAAGCAGACTTTGAGAATAAAAGTATCTGACAATTTTTATCATCATTTAAGACGACAACTTTTCAAATGTCAAACGGGTTTATGACAAAACGCCATTATTTTTCTTTCTAAATATGGCATCCATTAACGGCATTTCCTTGTTTAACAATAACATATAGATGTAAATTCTGAAAGGGATTTGCTTAAAAGCGTGTCATGTTGTGGATTTCTTTTTTTTACATTTTTAGGATAAACCTACCTTTATCACTAATGTATCGTATAAAACAGGTCACTTTGTGATATTTTGAGGAAGGAAGGCAAGGAATGCTGGTCAGAAGAAACGTATTATTTACAGGGAGTATACATATTTTAGAACTTTTTTTATTCCAACGCTACGTTATATTTATACGCTTAACAAATTGACTTCGACATTTACCTTACTATTTCAGGCGGTCCACTTGGTTACATTTCTATTTGCAAAGGATAAGTTTGTTTTACTTTCAATCCTTGAAACATCACTGAAACTATCCTAAAACGCATTTTTATCCATTAGGGAGCCAGGTCAGTGCGTACATCCGTGAGCCTGACTAGGTTTTATGCTAAATTTGATAAAATACTGATTCAAATTTTAAGTTAGACAACTCCTTTCAAGATATAAAGGGTAAAGTAATGATATATCAATACATGTTTTTGTTTGATAAAGGAATGTTACCTCGCTAAATGTTATGTCTGCGTTACCAGTCTTCGCTTCAAGTGCCTCGCCGAACCATTTAAATATTCTCTTTCCTGGGTTCCAGCCGTAACCTTTGATAAGATTAGGCAGTAGACTGAAGTAACCACAAGAATGATCTATGAAAAAAAACAACATTATTAATGGTTAAAGATATTATCAAAACTTGAATTATAGCCTTTTATCATGAAAGGGTTCAAAATCGATAGCCAGATCCATACCGGCAGCGGATAGGGTCATATATTCTATAGCTATATGTGTTGTTTTTTATTTTCATTTTGAGATATTCGTCCACCAATCGTAACAAATGTTGCTTGGTTTATGACGTGATAAGTTTTGGTTTATGCTACTAAATATCTTAAAAATATTGACAAGCCCATCATATTTCGCGGAAAAAATCAAAATGTAGACTGATTGAATTAAGCCAGGCAGAGAAAGACAAAAAGGATTTTTTGGTTGCACTGGGCGTATGAGGTAGAAATTTTTTCCGGTAGCGGGTAAGTTTTAATATTTTCCCCTTTGAAACCGATATTTTCCGATCTTAATTCCACGAAGTTTGCGAAAGTTGAGTTTCCGCAAGTTCATTTCAAAAACCATATATATGTATGTAAATCATGAATCACATTAATTACTCAGTGGAGAAATCTTGTGTTTTAAATGACTCTTTTTCATCTGAAATAGCATCAATTGCCTTAAAATAGTCATGCGACATGCGTTATCTGAGTTAAGGGAATGTTATGCCTCATGGAACAGACGACCTGTATAGGAAACAGCGTTTTACCCGACATATTCAGCAACCTAGTCTTAAATTGACTCGAGATAGCATGTATTACGTCGTCATTATATGTTACGGTCCATAGGGCACTTTACTGTACTGCGAATAAGATAGATATCATTTAAATCTGCTATCTTACCTAGAAATATTTTGGACAAGTCCTGGCTAAGAAATTCTTCAATCTCATGCGAGTTATAGCCCACAGCCAGCAGTGCAGCCGTCATGGCGCCGGCACTAGACCCGGCAAAACGTTTGATATTCTTGTAAGCTCCTATCTCCTCCAAAACCTGTCAGAGAACAAAAGTTTAAATGAGCCGCGCCATGACAAAACCAACACGTTTGCGACCATCATGGATCCAGACCAGCCTGCGCTTCCGCGCAGTCTGATCAAGATCCATGCTGTTCGCTATCAGTTTCTCTACTTGTTATAGGGTTTGTAAGCGAACAGCATGGATCCTGATCAGACTGTGCGGATGCGCAGACTGGCTTTGATCCATGCTGGTCGCAAACGCATTACGTTGGTTTTGTCGTGACGCGGCTCAAATGTTTTTAGGTATTTTTCAAGAAGTATGTTAGAAAGTGCAAGGTCTTGTGAATCTGTATTTACTAAGTTTGTTTTGGTTTTACAAATAGAAAAGGCGTGACATGTTGGAATTTAGAATTCCCAACTATTGATTTCTGTGATTTTACCGATATGACTGTAATGACTCAAATAAATAAATTTCTTTGCACGTGATGTTTCATTGTAAATGTTCTTTCATAATTGGGACGAATTTGTTTAACATCGCCAGATTTTTTATATAAAAACAACACAACATATATAGTAGGTGCTGCAAAAATATAGGTAAATCAATGATTGTATGATCAGATGACTTGTTAGATTATTTCTGTATTTCAGTATTCATCATTAAAATTTTGCATTTTACTATTTAGCAAAAAAAACACAAAAAACACAAAAAAAACAAATAACAAACAAACAATTCACATGAAAATGTTGTTTTTTTTTGTATATTTTTTTTGGACAAAACCACGAAACTATGCTCAACAAATTAAGTGAATTCACAGTAAACTATGAGTAAAAATTAGTTTCAAGGCTGTAGACACCGTTTTTTCATCAAACGCCGCTTTTCATAATGAAAGAAAATATAATCTTTTGTAGAAGGTTTTCGATTTTTGAAAGGTTCATTGATGCAATAGAATAAAAAGAATTCACACACACAATATCTTACATCCTGTGTATTTATGTATGTTTTATATCAAGTATTTTGCTGAAATTTATTGAACCTTAAATTTCGTTCCCAGGTGAACTTTCTTTACTCTTTTGATAAATACATCGACATCTATTTAAAGTGTGATGTCGCACTCCGACGCTTTTTTAAATTTACAAAACTTTCTCACAAATTAACATATCTTGAAAAATAATTCAATACCGAACAACAGCGTCTTAACCTTCAATTTGCTTGCGATTGTTATTATGTTGCTTTTTAGTGTGGGCGTTGGCTGTTATTCATTAATCATCTTTATTTTTTCAAATTTAATATATTTCGTTTATTACTCAATGTTCAATGACTTATAGTCAAAGAATTAATTATTGTATAAATAAATAAAATGTCAACTCATGGTTAAAAGTCATATTTGAATATTTGTGTCTCAAAACACAATGTTTAAATGGGATCACTGTAACAAGTGCAAAACGATTTTTTATGTACAAATGTAACTGTAAAATATATAGAGAAACAAATCGTATCAAAAAGTCAACAGAACGCTCGGTCAACAGGCACTACCTTAAACTACTTCCGCTTTCTATACCATTTGCTTATTAATGAACAAGCTATTTGTAACACAAGACGCGTCTGTGTATCAAGGATAGGGAATGGGGTACATTTTTCAACAATCTTACCCTAATAGCGCCGCAGTAAGCAAGCCCTTTGTTTCCACCACCTTCAAATGCGAGGTTTTCAAACGGGTACTGATAGTCGTCTATTTTTATTGACATAACTTTACTGTCAATCTCGTCATAAGTCTGACTAACAATGGTCCGCAGTTTTTTCATCCCTTTCCGACGTTCAGCCTCGTCTGTTGGAAGGAGCGGGAATACTTCATCCGGGTCCCAGTCTATTTTAAGAAACGAAAATAGAAACTCCTTAAACGTTTGATATTTTGACTATGCAAACATATGCGTATTTTCTTTTCAAACAAAATTTATTGAATAAATAAATATTCTATATAAAAGTTTATACGTGAAGAAAATAATGCAGTCATGCAAAATAAAAGGACTGAAGAAAATTAACAAAGTAATGTAATCACTAAGCAGAAAACTTTAAACGTTTAAAGATTCTAGACATAAAACTAAACCATTCACAAATTAAATAAAACTATTTGAAAACTAAACAGTAAACTATAAATGTATTTGTATAAAATAAGATAAGGAATGTAAATACAAAAATAAGAATCATATGTAGATCTATGCCATCTATGTTAGAGTAAAACTAACGTACACAGGATCTATTACATGTGTATATAATATTTGACTATTCTACACTATTTTATATAATTGAAAAAACTCCTACAATCTATTCAAAGATACAGTCGAGATTATAATAAATACGTGAATTAGCAAGGAGAAAAACAACAGAAACTTTGCATTTAATTAATGCCTTTAAAAATCTATAACTTTCAAGTTTGTTTTATATACAAAATTATTTTGTTTACATGTGACTTGACTTGTTAACATACATTGGAATAAGATGATACTCTTTTCGATTATAAATGCTGGGATCACATTATTATTAACAAAGGCGGGAAGGGATATGCATGGATAAATTCAAAAGAAATACATGTACGCCATGGTTTTCAGTTATAAAAGCGCATTATTTAGTTCTAAACCATTTGCAACAGGAGATATGTGATGTTAGCTCTATCGGAAGGAATGAAGGTATAGGGGGCATTGGGACATTTTATTTCGATATCAGGATGCAATGACAGTTGTAAAGTATTGTGAACCGTGTTGGAAACCTATACCCACTGGTGCTTACATACCATATTTGTCATCGTCGCTATATCTTTGTCCTATAATAGGTAGTCACATTTTATGTCACATTTTATGTTAAATAATCAATGAAACACTTTACTGTGATATTGTGACAACTACATAACTTAAAAGAATCAGAAACTAGAGGTGTCAGTAAGATATTGTGCTCGACTATTCCCCGTGCTTTGCAGTAAACAAATAGCCTAGAAAATATGTATTAAGTTTTAAGTGAATATATAATCAGTAGGTTGGAACTTAAACCAGTATTTTCTCAATTCGTGAAGAGCCACAAACTAGTCAATTTCCATGCCAGTGTTCCGGGCATTGAGAATTAACTTCTAATCGTGATCTCAAAGATATGCATACCGATTTAAGTAAATGCATTTAGGATGTTGCATGCAAACCTTTATCAAGATCTTTTTCACAAATGGTTATAAATCAATCAAAATCCATGACAGAGTTATATGAAGTGAATAGTGACCTCCCTTTATAGTCCCGAAGAAGCAGTTACATCTAGTAGGTATGAAAATAGTTGTTGCATGGTAAGCTTTGACCAAGAATGTTTTTAGTCAATACGTCAATAATTCTCTCAAGAGCAAAGCTAGAATCATAAGCCTTTGTCAATGACCTGTTTATTTTATGTCAGTCATTTGTGAAGTATGAAACAAACATTTTTATTGGTTCCCGAAATATGATGCTGTACAAGAAGTCGCACCTTTAAACTTTAACCAAGGAGTAACACTGTCACCGTTGATGCCTGGGTGAATAGGATGGCCGGAAATTCTTTGATAAGTCGGGCTTAAAACAATACAACCATTGTTTATTATCAAAACTAGAGATAGAATAACATATTCGTGCTTTCACCTTGCTAAACTAGTAGTTTTATTGCTTTATCACACACCAATTTCATTCCAGCGTCTACAAGTGTCTACACCTAGATAAAAGACAGCCCAACCATGCAATCATTGGTGCAACCTTACATAAGGAAGCTACAATACATGCACATTCTATTCTAACATTTCTAAGTTTACGAGAATACTTTCCACAACTTTTATAGAAATATATACATGTGTAAATGTGAAAATAAAGACATCAGTGTGATGTTTTGGTGATATAGAAATAGAAATGAAAGCTATAAACAAAACGTTTGGTCCGTGGAAAGTAAAGGGGACGTAATATGTGCATAGTCTAATACAAAGCACGTTAGTAATACTTGTTTTTATGTTCGTCAGCATTGAAACAATATTTGCTATGTTCTCCTCTTGCATAACACTTGATGTCAGTGTTCGTAGGAAACAACTGACATTAACAGCAGATATAATAAAAATATTAAAATACAGTATATATGTTAAACATGGTATTACGTACATCTCAGAGAAATCATTGGCTCAATATTTATGGTCAATACGGTACTTGTTTTATTTATTTCTTTTTCTAATTTTTAAATGCAAATATTTTATTTTTGGCCAAAGCAGACGACATGACACGAATGTTTGTTTGCCTATATCCTGGTATCATCATGTATTCATTATTGTCATACAATGATGACGAACATAAATACAAGCTGGTTGATAATATGCTGGAGACTTGGTTGAAATACCAATAATATACTAGCACCATTTGTCCAGTCGGTAGCTAAGTATACCAACAAAAATAATCAGAACAATATTTGATGATACATAAGCTAAAATAATGTGATTTAAAGCTGCTCTTGCCCATAAGATTCTAAAGAAAAATTGTCTCACGCTGAATTAAGTCTTTTCAAAATACAGTGTACATCATGTATATCACAACACAAAATAAAACAGGTGTCTGTGACAATTACGATCATTTCGTATGATAATGAAATTTCTAAAGAAACGAAATTTCATACAGGATATGTACAAATGTATAAGAAAGCCAAAGCAAACACCAAATATAGGAAATTTTTCATCATAAGTGCTAATATAGCAGCTTTAAATTACATTAATAACAATATATGTACTCTTGTATGTTTACAAATAACGATAATGAAACGGAAATCGAATTGACTGACTCTCTTGTAATTTCTCATTTACTTTAAGAAATGAAATATTGATGAATATTATATCATTATAATTATAATAACGAGGACAAAATACGTGTATATCGTAAAAACTATACTTATATATTTCTATATACAATAAAAAGAACATTTATTTATTTGTTTGGATCTTTTAACTTACCTTCAAAATAGCCTGCAAATTATCAGTTGTCTAATGAATTAGTATGGTAAAAATGAAAACAAACCATCATTAAATCTTCAATTTCCTAAATCATCCTGCACGTAACATTTTATATAAAAATCTGTATCTTCCGTCTGTCTCATTTTATTCACTTATTTTACACGTTTAAAAGGCCCAGTTACTTCAATCAACATATTTCTGCATAATAAAGGTGCTACCTATAACATGTTTATAAGATTAATGAATAATAGAAACACCATAAGCTTCACGTTTACCTTGATTTCCGGTTTAAAGGACATAAAGCTGTATCTTATGAAACATTATTTTAAAATTTTTCAACAGAAAATTTGTAATAGTTTCATAATCTTATGGTCGAAAATTGGAGGGGTTGTAACAGAACGTCTTTGTCATTCAACACACATGAATAGTGTACGTCATTCAACACACATGAATAGTGTACGTCATTCAACACACATGAATAGTGTACGTCATTCAACACACATGAATAGTGTACGTAAAGAGGATCAAACGTTCCAGAAAAATAGTATTCTGTTTTGTTTGTGTTTTTTTCAGTAGGGATTTATCTGTTGATCATGCGCCATTCACGTTTAAGCAATTTACTACTATATTAATTTCAAACAAGGGATTTTGGGAGTATTCTCATTTTTAAAATTCAAAGCAGATATATAGCTTTATACACTTTAATTATGTATTTTGGTGGATGGATTTTTAATCTTATTCAGTCTTCAAATAAATAATCATTAACAGAACATCCAGGCATATTAAGATTTATATACATGTTTGCTTTTTGTAAATGATTGTTTATCATCGTACATGTAGTTTAGTGTATCTGTTATATACGTGTTTATACAATGACGTCAAAATTAACATAACGGATGCTCCTCAACAAAAATGATTATGTCCATTTTATCAAGGTCATTACTTACTTCCAACAAACAATTCGTATAAAATGTTAAAAATAGATATTAGCTTCGAAATTTACTTAATATTCTTATCTAACAGTCATAGGTTTTAAGTTCGATCCTCATAGTAAAAAATGTAACTGTGACATAATTCTGCGAAGCAGATGTTAGTCTTAAAAAAAATCAATTATTCCGCTTTTCCATTTGGTACTTAAGCTTAAATAAATTTGTTTGAATATATATCTAAATATTGTTTATCAGTATTTTTCTTTCTATTTGAAAGACCCTGTCAGAAATAAAATAAATTTCGACCCCACATTACAATGTTTAAATTAATAATTTCACACAAAAAAAGATCAACAACAAAAACAATATTTTTTACGTGCTCTTTCGAAAAACTACAGTTTCTTCTAGTCAATAAGATGAAACAAACAACTATGACATTTAAACACAAGGTGGTTGATAAACATTAATAAATAAAACAACTTGCAACATGCTTCCTAACAAGACAAAATCAAAAAGCAGTTGCATTCCAAAAGAAAGGACAAAAGCAAGAAACACCAACTAATTTGTCTTATAATTTACATGTAACAAATGAGTCTACCTTGTAGAAATTATATTTTGGTGTTTCTTGGGGATAAAACAATTGTCACATTTATCTGTAGCGTACCGTTTATCTAACCGAATTAAAATATTAAAATGAATATAAATAATGGTTATATACATAAATATAAGTAATAAAAACAGAATTAAAAAGCAAGCATCTTTTCTTTCTTCAGCATTTGAAAGTGGTTAACAATTTTGACAAAAGTTATAATTATTATAAATAAATCTTTTAGATGGAAGCGTCAACAACAACGTGACAACTCGGGGATACAAACTGGAATAATTGATAGTTACCCGGACCTACAGAATCTGCATCCTCTTCATCGTACGATTTAGAACCGTCCGGAGCGTCCACCAGGTTTCGAACCAGTGTGTCCTGCGCCTCGTATACCCGCTTCCGGTCATTTGCGTGAGCGTCCTTGGCGTTCTTCCCGGAACAGTTCCCCATGGTAGTTTATTATTTTCAAATCACTATATCTGCAAATATATTTGTTTTGTTTATAAGCAATCGTTAAGTGTTTCGTGTCAATTTCATTTCGTAAATAAAAGAATAAAATTCCAACTTTCCTCCTTTATTTAGTTTTAACTAAATCAAACAACTTCAGAACACAATATATATACAGATATTCTATTTTAATACAATGTAGATACATTTTATGGCTGCTTCCTACACTTTCCAATAATTTGATACTTAAGTATCCAGTGCCCCAGACAAAAAATAATTTCTAACTTTAATCCATCAAAACTAAAATAAAAATGAATGTAATATGCGATCACAATAAGTTGTCTAACCACTGTCTCGAGGACGCGAAAATATTATCGTTTATTTTATTTGTATCCGCCAGCTAGACACTAAATTGTAATAACCGCCGGGTTTGTCACTGGCGGGTTCATGTTTCGATTTTCATTTATTTCATGATTTTTACGTGCAATACGTCGTATATTAAAGGAATTGTTCTCTTGTTATTTCAGTTCGGTTTTAGATTGTGAAAAGTAAAAGAAGTTATAATGTTGAACATTAAACGTTTAAAGGAAGAATAAGAGTTATTTTAATTCCAGCGTTGTAAAGAATGCTACAACAACAAGTGAACAAAATCAGAATATCTGCCAGTGCTATAGCCTCCTCATTAATTGTTTATTCCAAAGTGTTCTTTTCCCCCTGTCAATTCTTGACAAATTAATTCCTCTCGGTTTATTCTACAGAAATAAAAATACGTCGGAGAAAACATCAGCTAGAAATCTTATATCGTGGCTGTTACCAGCAATAATATGATTTGTGTTTCTAGGAAAATCAGCAGCGGAATGACACTTAAGTCATCTTTTATGAAATAAATTAAACAGCGTAGGTGTTAATTAGTTTAGTGGTAAGCCCCCGATGTTATTCCTATTCACCGTAATACCGCCCTTTCTAAAATTCCCCTAAAAAGCCTTTTTATAGCTTTTTGGGCTCCTTGCCGGTGATACTGTGCTGGGGTTGAGTTCATTGAATGCCTCCCTTTCCTGTTTATTTGGTTTTTTTTTTAATTTTATATGAGTGAGACGGACAACAAATGTCAGACTAAACGCTTTTAAATAGTAGATACGGAAAATGACAATGTTCGCCGATATAATACAAACTTCGGATGAACCCATTATAATATTAATAAAAAATTAATCGAAAGAGAAGACTTTTAAATCAACAGGACTACCCACAATGCAAATGTATCAAATATCACATGAGTAAGATTTTGTCTTCATAAACGTGTCATTCTGCTACGTTTCTTCGCTATTTTGAAACATTTTTACATGAAATAATGGACTCTTTCCTAGATAGCATACAGTCGAAATGTTAAAAACAATTCTTGAAAGAAATCTGCATTGGATATTAGTTTCATATTTACGTCAAGAATAGATAAAGAACAAAACATTAGCATGACAATTTAATACAAGAGACAAGTATTTCCTTTTTTAAATCATAGCTATTTAACAATTTAGCGCACAACAAAGTGTATACTTGTATTTTTTACAATATCTTACATTCATCTATTTGAACTGCACCTGCTCGCAGAAATCAAACCGCACAGGCTATACACTAATGCTGGTGCATGATTTCTGACACTGCTATGTCTCACTCAAGAAAATGTTGTAAGGCGTGTACAAAGGTAGATACAAGAATCTTATCATCATCGTGGTTTTATCATTAACAAAATATGTTTGTTTCCGATAAAGTCTAAATATTTTAGTCGAACATTAGATTTTTAATGAATTAAAATATGCTGTAAAAGTGTCTAGCACTCTGATATATTTCTTTCTTAAGGAGTTTGATTTCCAGTATGCAATTATAGCCAACACAGTACAACCAATACAGCATATCATCCAATGGGCAACGTTTCACTTGAATGGTTGAATTGATTTTAAAGTTTAATTTCGAGGAGAATTCATACTGTTTTTGTTGCTCCACAGAGGATCAATCTGCAGTGTTTGTTTACAGTTAGGTGTAGCTTTCATTTTCTTTTTAATCCATGTATATTAATTCTGAATCAGTAAATTTGTTGTTTCTACATTAAAAATTATCAAAATCCGAACGCCCTTTTAGCAACAGTTAAGTGAAAATAAGTTAGATTCCAACTCACATGGTTGTGTAACGGACTGGGGCAAACAAGCGAACAGTGACCTGTTCGTATTTTCGCGTTTTAGACCATTCGTCTTTTCGAGCTCTCAAGTAGTAACAGGTCCAAGTATGTCCCAGTACATCTAGTAAACATTAAATTATTTGCATTTTCTCACGAATATTACAATTTACGCGACATGCCTATACTTTCAAATATGTTTAGTTCTCCCGAGATAATTATTGGTTAAATTGTAGTGTTTGCTTTAGGATGAAATGATATTTTGAAGCGTTCATTTTTCGGTTAGAAGTTTCGTACAGTATCTAATTAACTTAAATGCCAGCTATCTAACTAATTGCACACTATTTCGTCATTTTTATCACAACATTGCGTTATCATATGCAGTTTGTAAATAATTCAATAGGCTTTTAGGGAAAGACCTGACATTTTCGAGATGAATTTACATTTCTATATTACAGGAACGCTACAAACGTTTCTGCATACTATGAAGCTTTTTTGTTCTAAATTGAGTAATGATATTTTTCTTGAAACAAATAATCACAAAGCCATTATTTCCAATATGTTCATTTTGGGCTATTACAATTTGCATACAAAATAGACAAAAAACGGAATCCGTAAAGAAGTCCTAAAACGACAAAATTGAAAACATTGCAGACTCGGTTTGATTAATCCTGTTCATGGACGGTACTGGAAAGTGCAAGCTACAGCTGCATGCCCTCTTAGCACCGGCTTAAACAGAATTCAACATTAACATGAACATGGTAAAATTATGATTTTAGTAACATTCAAAGATATGTTCAAAACAAAAATGTCCAATATTTTACGACATAGCGATAAAAAAGAAAAAAAGAATGCAATTTATAATAAAAGAAAACACACAGTGAAAATAACAAAAGAATGAAGGAAAAAAAGAAATAAGCCTTAAGCTAAACACATGGTAAACTGTGAAGATTTGTTGGTCATAACAACGGGCATTCACTCGGATGAAAGAAGTTATTACCGACAAGAGCAAAGACAGTCCCTAATAAGTAACAGCGAGACATTACATTAATACGAAGGCGATAATCTCCCTTGACAATACTTTCGTTTCGGTAGGCGTTCTTATGAACGCAAATAATAGATATGCCTAATGAGAAATTATAAAGTAAAAAAGCACAGAACTATGTCTATGAAACCTAAAGAGAAATTTCGATGGCATTAACTCAAGATGATATGAATAAGTAATTGTCTATGATTTGGTTTCACCAGAGTACTCTTATTTGCTCAGGTCTGATTTAACAGCCTTTTTGCTTTCTTCCTTGTATATTTTAAAAGATTAGATGAAAATGGAACTAGTAAAATGAACGTGTTGTGTCGTCGATATTAAAGAAAGTAAAGCAACAAATAATCAAACGCATGAGAAACTAGGAGTACTGTAGTGTAAGTGATTTAGGCATCTAAATAATGAAATTGAACTCATAGATGCGCCGGCTATCCAAGCTTTAAACTTTCGTTATACTGGTGGCATTAATAGTCCTTACACTGATGGAATGAATTGTATTTATACTGAAGACATTAATTTTAATGTATCTGTATTTGTAACATAAAATGTTTCTATACTGGGAAAATGAAACGTATCTTTACTAGGGAAATGAAATATCTTTATAATAGGGACATGAAAAGTCTCTATACTGATGACATGTTATGTCTCTTTACTGGGAAAATGAAATGTCACTTTACTGGGGAAATGAAATGTCACTTTACTGGGGAAATGAAATGTCTCTATACTGGGGACATATATTGTCTCGATACTGGGGAAATAAAATGTCTATATACTGGGGAAATGTAATGTCTATATACTGGAGAAATGAAATGTCTCTATACTGGGAAAATTAAATGTCACTTTACTGGGGAAATGAAATGTCTCTATACTGGGGACATATATTGTCTCGATACTGGGGAAATAAAATGTCTATATACTGGGGAAATGTAATGTCTATATACTGGAGAAACGAAATGTCTCTATACTTGTGACATAAAATGTCTATATACTGTGTCTATGAAATGTCTCTATACTGGGGACATATATTGTATCGATAATGGGGAAATAAAATGTCTATATACTGGGGAAATGTAATGTCTAAATACTGGAGAAATGAAATGTCTCTATACTGGAGAAATGAAATGTCTCTATACTGGGAAAATTAAATGTCACTTTACTGGGGAAATGAAATGTCTCTATACTGGGGACATATATTGTATCGATAATGGGGAAATAAAATGTCTGTTTACTGGGGAAATGTAATGTCTATATACTGGAGAAATGAAATGTCTCTATACTGGGGAAATGAAATGTCTCTATACTGGGGAAATGAAATGTCTCTATACTGGGGAAATGAAATGTCTCTATACTGGGGAAATAAAATGTCTCTATACTTGGAAAATTAAATGTCTCTATACTGGAAAAATTAAAAGTCTCTATACTGGGAAATGTAATGTCTCTATACTGGGGAAATGAAATGTCTCTATACTGGGAAAATAAAATGTCTCTTTACTGGGGAAATAAAATGTCTCTATACTTGGAAAATTAAATGTCTCTATACTGGAAAAATTAAATGTCTCTATACTGGAAAAATAAAATGTCTCTATACTGGGAAATGTAATGTCTCTATACAAGGGAAATGAAATGTCTCTATACTGGGAAATGTAATGTCTCTATACTAGGGAAATGAAATGTCTCTATACTGGGAAATGAAATGTCTCTATACTAGGGAAATGAAATGTCTCTATACTTGGGAAACGAAATGTCTTTATACTTGGGAAATGAAATGTCTCTATAACGGGGAAATTAAATGGCTGTATAATGGGGAAGTTAAATGTCACTTTGCT